CCACAACTTTAAAGTACAATGATACTAATCTATAGAAAAATATAATTTAGCATTAATGTGTTCTAAAATATCTTAAAGTTTAATGAAAAAAATCAATGGAACAAGCAAAAGCAGAGATTTGCTTTACTGGGAAAAGGCACAGGACTGAGAAGACTTGATTCAAGTTTACTTTATTCGATGCTTATTTGATGATAAGCAAGTTACTTAATGTCTCTGGATCTCAGTTTCTTCATTTTTCAAGTGGGAATATGTATGTAAATCTTACTATCTAGCACACAGCAGCAGATGCTGAAGTAAAATTAACTCTTTCCTTATTACTTATTATACTTAGTCCTTAGTACTTATTAAGACATTGGGAGTAAGGGAAATTAAATTGAATGGGAAACTCTAGTGGTGCTCTACAAGTGCATATCTATTGAATGCAAATCTGAACCAGCAGTAAAATGATTGAAAATGATTTGTTCCGAGTTTCTGTAGCATGACACTACTGTGAGTGGCCTACAGATGGCGCTAGATGTTTTCAACGGAATCCTTCCTCCCTATGCTTCTTGCCACTTAGTGGAATTGTACCTTGACAAAGGGTAAGTGCCTGATGAGTGGCCCCCAGGCTTTTTTATTATTGCTATTGTTGGCATAAGGGTGGTTGTGTCTGTCTTTGGTTTGCTTTTATATTTGGAGGAAAGAATGGTAGTAATAGGATCTGTTAGGGCTTTTTTGTTGTCATGAAGTCTTTTATTTGAAAATAATGTACATAACATAGTAGATGGAACAATTTTACAGAACCATTCTAAAAAAACAGAAATTAATTTTTTTAAAATTAAGGTATTCTAAGTTTGCTGACATTACATAGTTCTGTTGGTAAAAACAGCCTGATAGAAGACGTCATGAGAAAAATGAAGGTGCTTGGTGCTTAAACAACAAAAGTATTTCAATTAAAAGACTTTGAACACACCCAGGCAGCTCCTGGTGAGTCACATTCACCAGTAAAGATTCTTCTGGCTGGTGTTTACCTGGTGTGGCCTTTCCCAGGTGACCAAGCCCTTGTTTAAATAGTAGGAAGGTTAGATTTGAGAGACCAAATGTCACATTTTACCCAAAACTGAGGGAGCTCCCAGAATAGGTGACTTTTATTGTTAAAATGGGGCGAGTTGGATAAACCAGGAAGAGTTGGTTACCATAGACAAGGTCACACCAAAACTTTGTATCATTTGCAAGAGGAGTTGTTTTTTGGCAAGTCACCAGAACTCATGGGATATTATTGAAGAAATAAAGGAAAAGAAGGGGCCAAGTTAAGGCAGTGACCCCAGAGCTGTGTTCCAGGGTTGGTTGGGGAGATTAATTGTGCCTTCCTTTCAAGATAATCTCAGCAACTACAGGCAGGACCAGCCTGACACCCCCGGCCCCTCACTCAGAAGAGCTCATGCTTGTCTTGACAATCTGCTGCTGCCATCTTGAAGTTCTCCATAATCTTGAAACAAAAGGCTCTGAACTTAATTCTGCTAGCTTTGTTGTTTTGGATACATGTTTTTGGTCCCCCGAATATGTAGAACAGGAAAGTCGCAGTATAAAGACCTAATTCTCAACCAATACCTTCACTCCTTATGAAGAAAGTGAGTCCTACACAGTTAGGGAAGGGTAGATGTTTTCTTTATTGAACCTCTAACTGGGTGACACCATGATGAAGTCAAACTATAATGTGGTCTTAGCTGATTTGCTCTCAAATATCTTGGGTCAGAGCGGAGAGAAGCAAATGGAGACTAGAAATGGAGACTAGCAAAGTAGAACATGAGAAAGAGAAGACTGAAAACATAAAAACCTGTCTTAGTAATAAACCTTGCACAGATCTGACCCTTTAAAGACCACCTCTGGACACATAGTTAATAAATCCAGACAAAATTCCAGGATCAGCTGTAAGCACAGGCACTGTTTCTTCAGGGATAAGACAAAAGAAGCTATTGACTCTTCTCAGGCCTCCCTCTTCTGTGGTTTCTGCACCCCAGCGGCCTGAGCTTCCTTTGTTAGGGAGCCATAGTACTTTCTTCCCCTGAATCACTTTCTTTCACCATCTTGAGAAAACCTATGCTATTAGACAAGTGTGAGTTATTTTTTCAACTGAGCGATCTGGACACAGGACAAAAAAAAAAAAAAAATTAACCAAGAGCCATGCTCAGGTCAAGGTTGTTGTTTTACTAGGATTTTCTTACTGGCACTCCATAGAAGGATTGAAGATTAGACTTGATTGCCTTTTAGTTAGGAACAAGGAGAATCTAAGCTAACAAATACTATAGATGCCTGCTTATACGGCCATCTTGACTAGGTCATTCCACATTTTCCCTATAAGATAAGGAGACAGGGAGAGTGTTTTATTTGTCTAACTATCTTAAATACACAAACTGTTAAGGTTGTAGAAAAGGTATTTAAATATATATTTAAAAGATTTAATTTTAAATATGTGCATAAATTTAAAATCATAAGCTATATAAAATAATTCATTAAGTTGAAAATACTACTTTTTTCCATTTTTACTTTTTATGGAATAGTTTCTTATCAATTCTTTGTATGTGTCTTTAACATGTGTCTTCTCCACTAGAGCCAATTTTGAGTCCCCTGATGAGTGCTTTTGAAATATTAGATATATTAATTAAGAAGGGTAATTCTGCCTTCTGTACAAATGAAATCTAAAATTCTTAGGGGCTTAACCTAAGAATTAGTGGAAATCAATGAAGATTAATGGAAATTAATCTCTCCCTTATCCAAAAGCCCAGTGCAGGTATTGCTGGTCAACAGGTGTTTTAGTCAGCTTTCTCAGTGCTGCAAACCAAAATCCTGACAAGAACAATTTAGAGGAGGAAAAGTTTATTTGTTTCTCATGGTTTCAGAGGTCTCTGTCCATAGACAGCCAACTCCATTGCGCTGGGCCTGAGCTCAGGCAGAATTTCATGGCGGAAGAGCATGGAAGAGAAAAAAAGCTCAGGTCGTGACCACCAGGAAGCAGAGACAGCTCCACTTTTAACTGAGGACAAAATACATACCCCAAAGGCATGCCCAATGGCCCACCTCCTCCAATCACACCCTTCCTGCCTACAGTTACCACCCAGTTAATCCCTATCAGAGGATTAATACCCTAATTAGGTTAAAACTCTCATAACCCAATCATTTCACCTCTACACTTTCTCACATTACTTCACACATTAGCTTTTGGGGGACACCTCAGATCTAAATCATAACAATAGGTCAATGCAGGTGTTCTGTGGTGTGTTCCCACATGGTGGTCAGGCACCTAGGGCTCTACAGTTTCAAGAGGGCTGTGCCACCTGTCAGCAGCTTGTAGAAAGGACAGAGAGGATAGAATGACAACCTGCTTATCAACTACCTCAGCCCAAAAGAAGCACTTATCATTTCTGCTCACATTCTACTGGCTAAGATGGATCACTTGGTGCCACCGAGGTGCAAGAGAACCTGAGAATATAGTCATTTCTGATCTGTGACTCTATTCAATAGACAGAAAATCATGGTTTTGGGATGAACTATTGGTCATCTACGCTCTATCATCCTGAGATAAAAGATATTGCCACTGGAAAAGTTATCCCACCATGTATATGATAGTTCATATAATATTAGAGAAATTTAAAATATAAATATCCTATAAATGATATTTGCAGTTACTGTGCCTATACGACTTTTTACAGTGATGTTTTTAAAAGCTTGTTTATAACAACATCTAAAAATTGAAATTGTGAATTCACTGCACCAGGAAAGATCACTAAATCCTATTTAAATTTCTCTCCTGCCTCTTTGGTTGGGAAGTATCTTTCATAGGCAATTCATATTGGTTTTACTGAGACTGGTTGTGGACATAAGACACTTTGTTTTTTAAAATAAAGTTTTAAAAGAGTCCTCTCTAATATGACACAGGAGTTGAACCTACATCAAACACCTCTAAGATTTTATAAAAACTTGCATATATTCAAGTACATGTGTTACATATTATTCAGGTTCATATTTATGGCCTAGTTAAGGAAAAGGAAAGATACATTCAGGGTAAAGACTGAGATAAACATTAAGAGAGGAAAAAAGAACAGAGGAAGACACAAATGAGAAGAACAGAACACAAGAGGGGTGACCCATCACCCCCACAGGCCCCTCATTTCTCATTCCAAGACTCATCAAAGTGGCACCATCTCCCCAACCATCTCCTTTCAGCTCTCTGATTGAGCATCCTGGTTCCTACCTCCTATGCTTCTCTTTACCTAACAAACCATCCCTCCCAATCCCACCTCCAAATCTGTCTTGCCTGCCCCAGTGTACCCATTCCCACATAAAAATTGGCCAAAATCTCATTCTCATAAGCTCTTCCATGGGCCCTCCAATTAGCATGTTACCAACCAGGTGGAAAAGGTTCAGTTGCAATTCAATATGGCAGAACTAACAGAGCTCTCTCCTCTGCCTTTCCCCACCAAGGGAGTACTTCGTGGAGATGTACTATCGGAACGAGACCCAGCATGAGGCTTACACCCTAACACTGCCAGGCTGCACCCCCAGCTGTCCTCTGGAGAAGTTTGCTGAGTTGGTTGCCCCTGTGATCCCCCAAGACTGGTCCACGGAGTGTATGATCACAAACAACCACCAAGGTACTGAGAAAAATTAGTGTTCACACAGAGCTGTGCAGAAAGAGCACAGCGCTCATTCTCGAAGCAGATGGTGTTTTGAAAATGTACTTTGGCCATTAATCCCAGCTTAGAGGGAAATGGGCTTTGGGTGATAGCTGTACATTTCAGGGACCCCCAACGTTATGCAACTTTCTCTCAATCTAGTCCTGCCATAAACTTTAATTTATTTATTTTTCAGTATTACTATAAAAGGCTATCAGTGCCCAAATATAATCAGGTATAAAACTTAGGTAAAAGTTTACGGGGATGCCATGAGCTACAGTATCAGCCACACAGTACTTTCTACTGTTTAAAGGCTTCTAGGTTTTGTTTGATCATGATTAGATGAAACTGTGCTTGAAATTTCTGAAGTGGAACAGATTTCAAATAAAACCCGCAATTTAGTATGAGAACCAGGAAGGCAAGACTTTAATCTGAGGCTAATGGGGAAGCTTACCCATCAATTCCAGTCTTCTTTCTAGGAAAGGCAAAGAGATGAAATACAAGGACAATAACTGGAAAATTTTTCTATATTGAGAACCTGTCTGGTTTTATATTTATGTTAAATAATACCAGGTGGCAGAACTGAAAAATAAAAGTTTATTTGTGTCCTTTGGCCTTGGAACATTCATGTTCCCTTTGAAGAAGTTGAAATTAAGCTTTCCAAATACCTTTGAGTTATGTAATACATGCAGCAACCCTTGGAATATCTGCATCACAGCAGTTAAGCCATGTGATAAGAGCAAGCTATTCAGCACAACATGTCAAAGCTGAGACACTGCATGGAGGGTCTCTGGAAGTCCCGATGGCAGGGGATGTTGAATCTAAAGTTGATTTCAGAGAGAATGATGACACATATGAAGCTGGAACAAATTAGAAATGTGAGAATGTTCTAAGTCCCTCCATGTTCAAAACTTGTTGAAATATTCAAGAGTACGGTCATGAAATCCATTCAGAGGACAAAATGATCAAGGCTTTGATTCTAGTATCTTCAGAAAACCTAAGCAAACTCACAGTTCCTGCTGAGACTGCTTGCTCTAGAAGAAGAAATCATGTCCTAATGATACTCTTTAGAGTCCCTTAGATTTGCCATGTAGCAGATGCAACACGTCTAGAGAACACCATGCTGTATTTCCACCATGGATAGAGATGAGACAGTTCCTGCTGGGTGCCAGCATCTAGAGCAAAGCCATTCCCTCTCCTGGTTGGTCACAGAGTAACTGACGCAAGACATCGAGTTGATATGTTTCCTTGTGTAACTTCTTTCCCAAGTAAATATCTGTTGTTGGGGCCACCATCTATCCTTGTAACTTTCTTCTAGCAGTGAGCCAAATGTACAATAGTGAATAAAGTCATTATGAGGAAGTCCAAAAGCATTACTTTTATAATGAACTTCAAAAAGCTTGTGTGTTGTATTTAATTAGAATAAAATTCTGCAGGCAGATTTCAGGAGCTCTTTGTTGTTGTTTGGGGATTTTGTTTTGATGTCACAAAAGGAACTGGATTAATATGAATGATTGGAATGGCTTAAAAGAACATTTTACATGGACAATATAGTATAAACTTTAGTACTTCACATAAAGGCTAATCTGTGGTCCTGCCTCAACTATTTAAGATGGAACTTGCTAAGAAAACAACCTCAGAAAGTTCACAATGTAGTAAGGAAGTAAATGGGGGCACATTACAGGGAACTAAGAGTTACCCAGAATTGAAGGGAGACATGGAAGTCTAGGGAAGGCTTTCTGCAGGAGGGATCAACTGCGCCATGTGAAGTCAGGTTGAACGTAAGTTTATACTGCTGTGCTACAAGATACCAGAAAGGTATTTATTAAATGTCTTGGTAGCTTCAAACTGAAAAACATAGGGGTGTACTCAGCAGAAGATTCAGGCTTCAAAGAGATTCCAACAGGTTGCATTCAAGAGGCCATTTCTGATAAGCTATCAGTTTCACAAGAGCAAGGATTTTATCTGTTGTGTGCTCTGCTGTGTCTTCTCAATACCTAGAATTTCCTGTGTCAGGCATCAGTTTGTGCTCAATAAATATTTGCTCAATTATTGTGTAAATTAGTTACCTTTCCTCCCTGAAGCTCCACCCACTATCTTGATTAACAGCAATACTAGCAACCTAGGATTCATTCCCACCTCCTAGGAGTTATTTTTATCCCACACTCTCCTTCATATTCCCTAGGCTCTCCTCACAACCTCTGGTCAACCTACCTGTAGTATGTTTGCAGAATTCCTTTCCTCAAAACACCAATACTAAAATTCATTATCCAAGTAAAGTAAAATATGATTAATTAGCAAAATATGTTAGCAAAAAGAAAACATGGGTGTCATTGTACTGCAATCATATCTTAACAAATCTCAAGAGTAGAATATATGTGCAGCTCTTCCCAACCATGAGTTCAGCAGTTTCACTTGGGTACCTTAAAGTTGGTCATGGCAGAAGCATCTTCACCACAGAAATCAGCAAGTACTACAATCAGAGCTTTTTGTTGCTATTGTTTAATTCATATTACTAGCACATCACTAGATATAGTTCACAGAAAGCTTGGGAAAAGTCTATGGTCTGAGATGATCTCCAACAAAGTGAGTTTCATATTTTAAATTCTTTAAGGAAAATGGAATACAGTCTTCCAGGGTGATGATAAGTGCAGCTGGTAAAAATTTCAGGAAGACAGATTGTCATTCTCTGTTGGGAAATTCCTGAGAGAGGACCTGACCATTGGCCTGGATGAGCTTGCCTTGACATTGATTCTACAGAGCAGGCTGAAGTGTGGAGGGTAGTAAGGGTGAAAGAATAACTTCCTAGTAGGGTCACAAACTTAATAAAAGTACAGGAGTCTCAGATACATTTGACAAATAGCTCTCATAGCTACAAAAAATAGATGAACTGTTGTAATTCATTGAAAAAAAAAAGTAGAATACAGGACATTTCAGTTGTTCTGAGAAAGCCAATGCAGAAGGAAAGACAAAATCATCCAATACAGAACAGATCCTGTATATGGGAGATGCCTTGCAACTCTGCTTCTTAAGGGATTTCTACCCATGAAGTGCTACCTAAACTATAAGCAGTGGTTTTAGGTAGTTCTAGCAGATCCAGTTAACCAGACTGTACTAGTTAAATCAACCAGAATCTTTGCAAGAAAATCCATGACAAGTGCAAGTTCCATACTGCGTTACTTGAAAACAATAAAATTCTTTTTTTAAATGCCTTTTAATTCCAAAGTTTTATTAATGATCACACTTTCTGTGTTAGCACTCTACCACCTCCTACCTTAATATCCTGCTTCAGTTGTTTTATATTTTTTCAGTTGTTTTATTTTACTGGTGAGAAATTCCAGTTTCCCCCTCATTATCTTTGTAAAACTGACAATCTACAGTACATATTCACATGCCCAGGATTCAATCGTGAGCTTCTTAAAAATGAGAGCCATACCTTTTTCCTCTTCAAATCTTTAGTCGGTAGAACGTGGCACCTTCAATCAAGATTTGCTAATGAAATATATGTTCATCTCTCCATATTTAGACTAACTTTCTCATGGCTAGGTCCAGATCTCAGAAGTCTGGAACAATAAATAGGAAAGAGAGCTATAAATGATCCTGCAAAGTGACTGATCTGTAAAGACCTAATGGCTTGCTATATATATGTACATACTGGCCAATATGTCTGTGTTACTTGACATCTGTTTTCAACACAGTCCCTTGACATTCTCTTGTTCCCCCTTTGCTGTTAAGAGCCCCCTGATCAATGATATTCCTTCTAGCATCATTCTTCCCTTAAAGATGAGGCCATCTTATTAAAAACCTTTTTCTCACCCCTGTTGCCATTGTCTTCTGTTTTCCAGGACAAATTTCATCATCCATTAAAAACATTGCCTTGGTCTGCACTGATTCATTCCTCACTCCCACTCCTGCCCTCATCCTAGGCAACTCTGACAGTCATAATCATGACCCAGCTCATACCCTGCCCATCATACCAATACCCAACCTATATCAAAGCCATCATGGAGTTTTTTCCACTGGGATCTTCCCAGGAGAGCTAAAGAAAACAAAAGACTGTCTCTTGTGACTCTCAAACTATGAATGTTGAAATTTCTAGTCCAATCCCTGGTCTTTTGAAACTGCTTGGAAAATGTATTCCTCCTTTCTGGACCCTTCTCTACTCTCTTTAGGAAGGCCTTTTCATTTTTCCCAAGCTCCAGATTTCATTGTTTTTCTTTATCTTAATAAGGTAATCTCTGGATAACCCTTTTAAGTTCTCTTCTAACAACCTCAAAATATGTCAGTAGCTTTAAGCTTCCCCTTCAGCTGTTCCTCAGGTAAACTGGCTCCTCCTTAAGCAGTCTGACTTCTCACTGTGTGAGGATCCATTCCAACAGTCTTCTTAGGACTTCAATGAATTGTTTATTCAGCCTCTTTTTCATCCTCTGCCCTGGCTCCTTCCCTCCTACTATGAAAATGGCCAAGTATCTTCTTGTCAAAACACCTCAAGTGTCTGCTCCATTTTCTTCTTCAGTCCTAATTTTCTTAAACTAATGATTTGCCCTCTCCAGCTATTCCTTATCTCCTCAATTCTTAATTACTCCGTACAATTATGTCTATTCTCCCACCATCTCTTTTTCTAAACTTCCCTTTTGAAAACTATCAGTGCCCAATTCAGCAGTCTCTTTTCCTTGCCTGTTTTACAGAGAAGAAAACTAAAAAGCTCAGAGAATAACATGCCACAAGTAGTAAGGTCAGGAGTCAAACCTAACACTCTCTGATACCTTCTTTCTACTCTAGCATGTCCCTTTCTATCTCTCTTATACACTGTTGCTCTAGGGCAATTTCCTAAAGTAGGATTGGTGGATCAAGGTATATGAATATTTAATAAACAATAGATATTTATTGAGTACCTCTTATTCATCAACATGTACCCAGGAACCAGGCATTAAGTTTGCTGAGGATACAGATTGTAGAGAAGCAGATTCTCCCCATGTGGTTTGTAGACCTCTGGAAAAAAGGATGGAAGGACAAGGAAGGACAGGGAGATAAAAAAAAAATTAAATCTCTACAGATAAGGGACCATGAGCCCTCTGATGAAAAACATATAGGTATCATGAGAACATACCGCAGAGGCAGTGAACCTAAGTATATGGGTTAAATTGGTAGAAGGTATCTATCTAAGAGAAATTGGCCAACCTAAGAGAAGGCTTCTCAGAGGGGTGATGTTTAAATGGAAACCTGAAAGAGAAAAGGACATAGCTAGGTGAATAGAGGTGAGGAAAAAGGAGGATGTTACAGAGAAAAGAGAGAAGACCAGGAGGCTAAAGATAACATGGGCATTTTAGGGACTGGAAAAAGTCTGGTGAGTACATGGAGAGCTGAGGCTGGAGAGATGGGTGTTAAGTGCTTTCTAGGTCACCTTGAGTAGTCCTCATCATTGAAAGGTTTTAGGCAGAGGAAAGATGCTGTAACTACATTCTTATTTCAGGAAGACTCTGGTTTCAGGGGGAGAATGGATTGGAGAGGAGGCCAGGAGAAACAGGAAGCTGTTGCAGTAGTCCAAAGAGAAAGGCATATTTATCCAAAGGGTGAAAAGAAGTAGGGCAGACAGGACTTGAGGATGAATGGAAGAGGAAGAGGCTTTCCACACATTTCAAAAATGTTTCAGCAATTTTCACACTGTGTTCAGCAGTATGTGTTTGTCCTGGTATAAAGGGACATCTTCTCAGTCACTGCCTGCACTGGACCTCTTTGTAGTAAGAGACAAATAATCACTCTATCTTTTTGCAGCTTCTAGAACATCACTCTGCCAAAATCCTAAAATCTTTGGTAGTAGAAAGAAGCACATAGTTTTAAAATGAATAAGAACAAATCAGAGAAGGAGAGAACACCAGCTCTCCTGAGTCTTTTCTTTCTACTCAGGCTCCTTGGCCAGTTGCTCTGAGATAGATACCTTCTACCAACCACTAAGAGATGGTGTCCCAGGATCCAGTATGTTATTTCCTCATTCCACACTCACCATGAGGCAGTATGCTCAGACCTCTGTCTTCTATACTTGCCATCCTTATTTCTACTTCTAAGTGGAGAATCCTAGACCTATTTTTTGGTGTTTTTTTTTATTTGTTTGTTTTGCAAACTACCTATAGATCATCACTGTCAGGATAATTACCCATCTCAGTGTGACATGAAAACAAAATCCATTACCTCCTTTACTCCAAACCGTTTTTTGTGGTCTCTGTCTCAATTCACAGCTTCATCGTCTGATCAGTCACTCAAGCAAGAACCTAGGAGATGATCTTGCCCACAATTTCTCATTTACCATTATATTTAATTTGTCACTAATGGCTTCACCAATGTCTGCCCATTCTACTGCAAGAGTATCTCTGAACCCCTTCATCTGTTTTCCCAGGTCCACCACTTCAGTTCTGAGCCCCTTCTATCTTATCAAAGATATCTCAGTAGCTCCCTGACAAGCCTACCATATCTCCCTCAACCTATCCTTTCCATCAGTTTGTTTATTTATTTATTTTTATAAACACAGAATGTTATCTCCATGTATAATAATCACCAATCACTTCCATTTGCCCCCTGAAATCAGACACCTATAACTGGGCCCTGATCTACATGTGTGGTCTACCCTCCCTGAAGCCCGAGCTCCAGTCACTAATAATAAACTCCAGTAACTGCTCATTATTTCCCAGACATACCGTGTGCAACTCCTTCTGCCTCATGGCAAAGTCCTATTCATCTCACAGGCTAGCTTAAATCTCAGAAGACTTTCCAAACTCTTTCTCCATCAAATAAAATATACTCTGTTGGTTGCAACTTGCTCCCTGTTCCAATGACCTCTTACACCTCCATTTCAGTATTTGTCACATTATCTTAGAATTGTCTATCTGGTTCTTCCACTACACATTGAGCTCCTCAAGAGCAAAAGTTATGGAGCCTCAGCACTCACCACAGCCTGCATGGTGTGTGATATGTACTCACTGCATGTCTAGGAAGGAATGAAAGAAGGATAAAGAGTAGGGAGGCATATTCCATGGGACTGCCATTACAGCCAATAAAAATAACTAAAAATAAAAATTTTAAGTAGTGAAAGTCAGCCATGAAAATAAATTTTGAAGAATGACTAGTATCTGTCTCCCTCTCTCATTTCCATGCAGTCCCATCTTTCCTTCTTCAATTCCATTTAGTTCCCTTCAACTTTATATTAGCAACTTTTGAATTTCTAATGACACTGTCCTTTGGGATCTAACTTTATTAATATGTACCTTTTCAGGATATTACAAAGCATCCTCGTATCATGAGAAAAACACTGGATAGATAGAAAAACACTGGTATCATAGAAAAACACTATGAATGCTAGGTTGTTATTTTTTTCTACAAATATTTATTAGCATGGACTGTGGACTATATACTGTTCTAAGTGCCTGCATATATCTGTGAACAAAAAAAATGCAAAGGTTCCTGCTTCCTTGAAGTTTATATTCAATTAGGAGAGGGGCAGATAATAAATAATAAACATAACAAATAAGTATTTTGTTAGCTGTGGATCACAAGTGCCACATTGGCGGAGGGAGTAGAGAAGATTGAATAAATTATACTTGTAAATGGGAAGGTCTCTTTGAGATGAAATTTAAGTAAGGAAGGTAAAGGATTGGCCCAATCCAGGGACCTGGGGGAAGAGCATTCAAGCAATAGTATCAGCTAGAGCAGAGACACTAAGGGGGAATGCACATATGTGTTTGAAGAATAGCAGAAAGGTCTGTGTGGCCAGAAGAGCGTGAGTGGGGGGGAAAATGATAGGAGATAAAATCATAGGGGCCAGATGATGTAGTCTCATGAACTGTCACCATCAGGATCTTAGCTTGTCCTCTGATATTGATGACCACCCATTGTGGACTTCGTTGTAAGGTGCGGAGTGGCATGGTATGACTTGAAACCATTTGATGGCTATGTTTAAAACAGACTGTGAAGAAGAAAGGACAGAAGCTATGGAGCAAGTCAGAAGCCACTGTAGTGATCCCAGAAAATGATAGTGGTTCAAAACAGGGAGAAGTCACTGGTTTCTGGATATATTTTTTAGTAGAAGCAACAAGATTTCCTAGCAGATCAGGTACAGGAAGTGAGAGAAAAGATTCAAGGAAGATTCTAAGAGTTTTGTCCTGAGGCAACAGAAGAAGGGAGTTTCCATCAACTGAGATGAGGAAGGCTGTGGATAGAGCAGATTTGGTGTAAGAAGGAAATGGAGGTTCAGTTTTGGATTTGTTGAGATTGAAATGTCCATTAGATGTCCAAGGAATACAATAGTCCCCTTTAACCATGGGGGTGTGTTCCCAGATCACCAGTGAATGCGTGAAAACATTGATAGTACAGAGCCCTATGTATACGGTGTGTTTCCTGTATGTATTTAGCTATGATAAAGTTTAATTTATAAATTAGGCATAGAAGATTAACAACAACTAATAAAATAATAGGACAATTATAATAGTGTACTACAATAAAAGTTATATGAATGTGCTGTTGTTTACTCACACACTCATTCTCATGTCCACATCACTACACTGACATTCTGGGGACCATTATTAGGTAAAATCAGGGTTAGTTGCACATAAGCACTGTGATATTTCAACAGACAATCTCACAACCAACATGGCTACTACATGACTAATGGGCAAGTAGCATATACAATGTGGATGCACTAGACAAAGGGATGACTCACATCTCAGGTGGTGTGGCGTGGGATGGCATGAGGTTTCATCACACTACTCAGTACAGGGCATGAATTATTTACTTCTTGGAATTTTTACTTCTTATGAATTCTTTACTTCTCAAATTGGCCATTTAATATTTTCATTCAATGGTTGACCACCATGGGAAACTAAAAGCACAGAAAGTCAAATCCTGGATAAGGGGGAACTACTATATGCCAACTATACATTGTACATAAGAGTCTTGAGTTTGAAAGAGAGGTCAGAGCTACAGATTTAAATTTTGAAGTCCCAAGTGCACAGATGGTTTTTTTAAATCATGAGACTTATACCATCCCATGTATCCAAGCCAAATTAAATTATATGCTTAACTTAACTGTATTATCTAATCTCTGTGTTTCTTATTTTTCTGCTCTGTATAATGATAGACTAAATCAGTGATTTTATCTGTGTTCCATGGGGCTCTAGGGTTCCATAGAAAGACCCATTTGGATCCTGACTGTTGTCCAATTCATGAATTCTTTACTCAATTAAACCCTGCTAAATCTAATTTAAAGATTTTTTAATGATGTGAAAGCAGATTAAAAAATAATCAGGGGTGGGGTTATAGCTCAGTGGTTGAGCTCTTGCCTCACATGTGTGAGGCACTGGGTTCAATCTCAGCACCACATAAATAAATAAATTAATTAATTAATTAAAGATATTATGTCTGTCTACAACTAATATATATATAGATATAGATATAGATAATCAACCAGGCATGGTGGCACTCACCTATAATTCCATCAACTCAGAAAGCTAAGGCAGGAGTCCAAAGCCAGCCTCAGCAACTTAGTGAGGCCCTAAGCAATTTAGCAAGAACTTGTCTCAAAATAAAAGAAAAATTTTAAAAAGGATAGGGATATGACTCAGTGGTTAAACATCCCTGGGTTCAGTCCCTGGTACCAATCATCATCATCATCATCATCATCATCATCATCATTATCATCATCAAATATCATTACTAACAAAAAAGAAAGAAAGAAAGACCCATGTGGATCTGAGAAGTTTGCTCTCCGTTGCCTAAGTCACAAAGTAATCCCATATTTTTACAATGATAAGACATACATTTAGAGAGGAGACAAACTGATATTTGTGATGTGTACACTATAGTGAACTAGGATGTATTTAGAGGAGACTAACTTTCTGAACAAAATAATAAATTAGTGCCATATATATGTATAGATGGACAATTGTATAGTTAATATATATTCAGTGTTTCCTCTTTAAAATATGTTTACCTGGACATCAAATAGAAAAATGAAAAGATTCCATTTCCTTTAGATTCAATTGGTTGCAGTTGAGTATTCAGAATTTCCTTTGAGTCTGTGACCAGAACAATTAGTAATTTAACTGTAGAAAAATGCCCAAATTTAGTACTATAAGAGGACCTTAGAAATATTTCAGTTGATTACCCTCCCTTTACAATAGAGAGCTGAAACCCAAAGGTCAAAGGTCATGCTAGAACTGAAACCTAGGTCTCCAGACTTCTTGTCCTGTGCCCTCTGTAACCACAATCTGCTGACTTCTGTGCTGCTTCAAATTTACAATAAAGGCAGAAATCAACACTGATACGTAGTCTTCACATTTTCTTAAGACATTAATTTTACATTAATGCTCTTCCTATTTTCCCACAGTTCTAAGGGTCATCCTTGCCATTGCCTTTTGCCTGGTGTCTGGCATCCTAGTGGTGCTACTCTTCACGCTCATCCGCCATGGGCCCTGTTGGCAGAGAGACGCCTATCGGAACATCTGAACAGACTGCGGAACAAGAGGAGACAAGCAGATCCCAGTTCCTGGGATACAGCCCTGACAGCATTCCAAGGATAGGCATTTGTCGTGTGGGCATTGTGCTGCCCACACCCTTCCTCTTGAACCTGCCCAGATCATGGTCTGAACTCACAGCCACCCAGGGACAGCTGCTTGACTGACAGGTTACTTAGGACATAGCTCTGAGCAGCAGTGCAGGCTGCTCATGTAGCTAAAAAGAGGCTCTTCTATAGGGGACAGTTGTATTCTCTGACACAGATGTCCAGAGGAAAAGCAAGGAGTCAAATTCCAATCAGCCTTCCATCTGCCAAGAGCAAAGTGAGACAAAGACATAGATTAGACAAGACTTGATAATGGGAGGGTTAGACTAGTCGTAGTATTATACAAGATGATTCCTAAGGAAAAAAACACAGTAAGAATTATAAACATTTTCTTTATCAAGGTGGGCTACGCACGCACACACACACACACACACACACCCCACTAAGAAGCAATTCCTACACAGTGTTTTATGGCTAACAGACTTCTGCATGTTTGCCTAACATACATGCATATGTATATTTATATTTTAAATGTCTTTGGAAGAGTTATTTCTCAGAAACTATAATATCAAAGTAACGTGAAAATCCATGTGGCCATGCTTCTGTTTGTCTTTTTGTTGTAGACATTAAACCCAGGGCTGCACACATTCCAGGTAAGTGCTTTACCATTGAGCTACAGCCCCAGTCCCCAGTATTCTTTTTTTAACCTCCAATATCAGAACTGGATATTTTACAGTTTTGAATTTCTTTCCTTTTTTTTTTTTGTAATTTCTTTATTTCACTTTAAAATTGTGAGATCTTACATGGATAAGAGTTATTAATGACAATGATGAAATGATAATATGTTTTAATTGCCACAATATATATAATTTTTTTCAATGCTGGGGATTGAATCCAGGGCCTCACACATGCAAGACAAACACTCTACCTCTAAGCTACATCCCCAGTCCTATCTGAATTTTACAAGTGGTGAGGTAGAAAGAAAAGTGGGGCTGAGGGTTAACAAACAACTGCCTCAACTCTGCACTAGCTTTGGGTCAACAATCAGGAACAAGTTCTTTCATACCTTAAGCCTTAGTTTCTTAATCTTCAAAGGAAAAATCTGGAGCAAATGATGATAGAAGTGGCATCTCGTTCTTGTGTTCTGTGAGCAATTTCTTTTTCATTTTACGCTATGGATGGGTTGTTGCCAAAACAAGCACTTCCATGGATAGTATCACTGTTAAGTTACTATGATGAAATTTAAAATTTAGCAGAGTAGCAAAATTTACTCTGAACAATTTTATTCTGCTCTGAATACCCAACCATTCAGTTGATGGGAAATCAAGGCTTATTCCTTAGTAGGGTTCTCCACCTCTTCAGGTTTGACTAAAGATCCCAGAGAGTAATCGGAGAAGTCAAAAGGGTCCACTACAACTCTGTCCACACTGGTCTCCAGTAAGTTCACTGTCCACATGGACAGTGGTCTTCTGAGGGCAGTTGGAGGACATTTTTATCATGGCTCCCATCACTACACCCTTGGAGTTCACATCCTGGGACTGCCTAGACCAACTGCTCTACTACTGAGCCACAATCTGAGCCACAGGAGCTGTTTTCTCTTACCTGACAACTTCCTATTCCTGCTGCAAAACAAAGGCCACCCAGAAAAGGAAAAAAGAAAATAAATTCTGGCTTCATCTTTGCTTGGGAAAGAGAAAAACATCTGTATCAACAGGAACAAAGAACTTGCTGTCTTGCTAGAGCAGCCAGCTCTGTCAGTAAGAAGTCATAATACCTTATGCTAATGAGACTGTAAAAACAGAAATAAAAACACAAGTCATAGATTTTTCTCAATCATTCAACAAACATTGATGGAGGACCTCATATTCACGAACCTAGATAAATTATCTATTCAGATTGGATTACTAGGATATTTGGCTCCAATGACCATCTCATTTAGAACTGGTGGAACATAAAAGCTTTTACAACCTTTTCCACATATCATCTTATAATACTTTCCATGGCTAAAATTAAAATTTCCATGCTTCTACTTTCCATTGCTTCCAAGGGATTTTTCCACATCCTCCATTTCTTTTCCTTCTACCATCTCTTTAGATTACTGTAAAGAAACCTCTCAGGCTCAACTTAGTTGTTTCCCCTACTCTTTTCATAAATACTGTACTTGTTTTCCATACTTCATGTCAGAATGAAAAATCATAAGTGACAGATGACCTATAGCAATAAAGAACCCTAATGTACTGAAAAGTTTCTCAAGAAACTTCAAGAGAGGTTGTAACTCTTTCAACTGATAAAAGTTACTCTTTCATACAGATCAGATAAGATCAGTAAAATTAAAAAGATGAAATAAATTCTAGCAATAAAATTTATTTAATTCAGTATCTCTAAAATAGCATTTCAACATGAAATTGATACTTAAAAAATTTTAAAGGGATATTTAATGTTGTTGTTGTTGTTGTTGTTTTCTGGTACTGGGGATTTGAACTCAAGGATGCCTTGCCTCTGAACTATATTCCCAGCTCTTTTTATCTTATTTTGAGACAGGGTCTCAGTAAATTGCCCAGGCTGGGCTCAAACTTGTGATCCTCCTGCTTCAACCTCTCAAGTCACTCAATATTACAGCATGTACCACCATTATACTAAGTATTTAAAGTCTGATGTGCATTTCACCCTTGGAGCACATCTCAATTTGGACTAGGCTACATTTCAAGCCTCAAGACACATGTGGCTAGTGGCTACCATATTGAATAGTTCTGCTTAAGACAATTAAATGATGAAATTTTTAAAGAAGATAAACTGTAATCTCTGTTTATTTTGTAAAATCCACCTTTAGATTATTGTGAAAAAAATAAAAATCATCTTTATTATGTGTCATCTTATTTTTGTGCATGGCTAAACTGATTAAAGATTTTTCTGAAATATTTTATCAGTAAACCTGACAACAGTAGTAGCCCAAACCTCTTCCAAAATTATCCTAAACCTAATTTCTTTTTATTAATTTTTTTCTTGTTAAATATTTTAAGAAAGAATTTGAAATCAGTAAATAAAAACTGCTATATTTTGAGGGGATTCCTTTTAAAAGCTTAATTAAATTTTTGATTGTGAGTAATCTATAATCAAAAGAAAGATGAATGCACTTTTCAACTTTTCTCTCATAATCTATAATCAAAAAAAAAGAGTATAAAAATACAAAATAAAAGGCTTTCCTCTCCACTTTCAATCACGAAATGCAATCTTGTTGACAATATCTGGTTTTAGTTCTTCTATTGAATAGCATTAATTTTTATGGAATAGACATTTATTTTCTGAAATTTTCATATTTTTCTCTGCTTTTATGACCAAAAGTGACATCTTCCTTTTATTTCTTTTTGTCTTCATTTTCTTGTGGTAATTTTTAAATGATTCATGAGCAGTAAGCTTTTTAATTCTAATATATCCAAATATATCTACATTTCCCTCTCCTTTACCAATCAGTTGGTTGGGTATATTCAGGTTGAAAATCATTTCCCTCCCAAAACTTTAAAGCAGTATTTTGTTGGGTTGTAGCATTCAGGATTGCTGAGAAGACTCATAACAGTCTGATTCTCATTCCAATATAAGTAATCTGTTTTATTTTGCTTCTCCTGACTCTTTTAAGATATGCTTTTTATATATGGAGTTCTGAAATTTAACCAGAATATATTTAAGCATGGTGTTTTCGTCAGCTTTTTTTGCTGCTGTGACTAAAAGAATTTAACCAGAACAATTTTAGAAGAGGAAAAGTTTATTTGAGGGCTCACCGTTTAAGAGGTCTTAGTCCATAGAAGGCCAGCTCTGTTTCTCATGGCTCCAGGTGAGGCAGGACATCATGGTGGAAGACTGTAGCTGGGGAAGCAGCTCCTGCGGGATCAGGAAGCAGAGAGAGATTCCACTTGTCAGATTCAAATATAAACCCTGAAGCCACGCCCCCAATGCCACACCTCCTCCAGATACACCCCACCTTCCTTCTACCAGGTTATTAATTCACTGATTGGGTTAAGACTCTCACAGCCCAATCATTGCTTGCATTGTCTCACAAGTGAGTTTTTTTGGGGACCCCTCACATCCAAACTGTAATACATGGGTATTGAGTGTTTGTCAGTTCTCTGTTTAATTTTATATGGCTTACATGTGTCCTTTCAACCTAAAGATGTTTGCTTCTCCTCAACTCAGGGAGATTATGTTCTGAAACTTCAATTCCCTGGAACTATCCTCCATACCTCAACTTTTCTCTCATATTTCCTACCTTTTTATTTTATTTCTTTACATGCTAGGAAATTTTACTTTCCCAAACATCAACTTGGTCTTTAGAAAATACTTTATTATTTTTTTATCTCCAATAAATTCTTACTATTCACTAATTATTCCTTTTCAATAGTGTCTTGGTGTTATTTTATTAATACAATCTCCTCTTGAATATCTTTAAGGACACTAAAAATATTTTTCAAATTCTCTTCTACTTCCTAAATTATTTTTCCTCTAAGCACATTTGCATGAGTTTATTAATCTTGGACTTTCTCTTTCATGCTCTAGATTTTTCTTGAGTTCTTGTGAAACGAAGAGCTTCAAGGATTAATTGAGATGGTTGGTATTAGTTTTCTTTTAAGTCATGGATGTGTATTTCTGTAACAAATGTCTTCTTCAATAACTGCTTTAAAACCCTCATGTGCTAATTGCAACATCTTAGTCATTTTAGCCCAGTCCTCATTGATTGGCTTTTCTGAACAGGATGGGTTATTTTTCTGTTTCTTTTTATGTAGAGAAAGTCTGGGTTGTGTTTTAGACATTGTGGATGATATGGTATGGAGACTGGGTT